CGCAACATATTTATTTCGACATCATTTCTCAATTACACAGTTTATTTCAAAACAGAAAAACAGAAAAAAACAATCCTATCAACAACTTACATTTTTTGATAATTCCATTGTAATACATAAAATAATCCATTGTAATTAATAGTCCATAGAATAATGAAAATATGTAAAATCAAAATCAGCAGACCAATGATGAAACGTGTCAGCTGAGGTGTCACAATCATGTCATTCAAACTATACGGAGGATCATTATTAATCCATTGATGTGAATTATTGAATTTCTCATCTTTTATATTTGTTTTATATAAAGCAGCTGTGGTGAATATCGTTGAGATAAGCACGGATAAACAACCAATGACAATGAAATGATCATAAAAATACTGAGGAAGAAATTCATAACCTTTACTATTATTCAAATCAAAATTAGTGTGTGAATAAATTGATGAAGTATTATTCAATATTGATGATGATGATGAAAATGGTAAAAAGTTGTTCGCCTTAACATTGTAATTGATGAATAAAGGCGAAATGGAAAGATTGTTAGTGAATGAATGCAATTGGTACTGTTTATGGTGTTGTTGTTGTTGGTGGTGTTGTACAGTAATGAAATCTTTAAAACTGTCAGCATTATTGATGAAATTCACCTGGTCGATTGGATTGCATAAAAACTAGTAGTAATAGAAAATAAGCAGAAAGGGAATTTAAAGAGAAATCATTTGATCGATGGTAAAAAAACGAAAAGGTTGGAGAAGCTCTTAAGAATATTTTTTCTTTCAGATGACATACAGCACGACTACTCAAAACCATTTTGGAATAGGTGTAGCACACAAACTAACAGAATCACTTCAATCAATCCTGTATGTAGACACCGGAAGGACAAAATGACAAAGGAAGAAAAACTAAATATCATTTACAAAATAAATGATTGCTCAGACTGTGAAAAACACTACATAGGAAAAAGTGGACGTCCACTTCAGCTTTGTTTACGTGAACATCAATTCGTAGTCAAACGCCACGACAACTCTTCGCTTATATCAATACACACACTGACAATTATGGACATACATTCGATTGGAACAATGTGGAAATACTGGGTAAGGGGAGGACAAAGAACACTAGAGAATTTTTAGAAGCTTGGCACTCAGGTCAATCAATCAGCAATCAACAATCACATCGACATTGACTCAATTTATCAACCAATCAGGAAAATCATAGGATCAAGAAACAGATCAAAAGGGGCGTGCAATTAAAACAAAGTTGCAAACAACGACAGGTCAAAAGGCAACAGCAAACAATCAAGATCGAGGTTAGCAGAACAAGCAAGCTACGGGTCAAATATGGAGAAATTCGAATATTTCACTTCTCCTATCTGAAGTTTGTACTGATGATGTTGTTCAACAGAAGAACAATGAAAGCTCCACAACCAAAACAACCAGTTCAGAGAACGAAACACCACCACAAGTTTGAGAATCGTTTGTTTAATCGACTCTCAACATAAAACTTGCTATAAAGTTCTAGAAAACTGTTACGCATGCATATAAACACGTCATTTGACACACTTGAACTATTATGAGTTCACCATAGTCGGAAAACGAGAGTCAGGATCCGGTGACACGACAGGCTGCTCTAATACGAGCATCCCAAACCCTCCATTGGGTAAAAGAAGTAGAACATTTATTCTACAAGCATCCAGAAAGTACGAGGTCCGAGTTTTGAAGAGAATCAGGATCCCAGACTAGGAATCCGGATCCGGGTCATTGATAGTTGGGACGATTAATAGGATTAGACTTTGGATAGTGGATGAATATCCTAACAAAAATTGATCGATTATTTCAATTTCCAAAAGCTTACAGAACATCAAAGTCACTTCACAAGTCCATAAATATTTCAATCTTTTCATACCTTAACTAATTGCCATATTTTGCCTTCCATCTAAGATTTCAATGAAGATATTCCAGGAAAGTTGAAGAACAAGCGCAAACATCTCACTCAACCGATAGGTTATCAAACTTGTTACGATAATCACTATTGCAAAAAATGTTATTAATAATATTATTAGTAATCATCAATGACCATAGTAATATTACCAAAAAATTAAACACTAAAAAAACATACCATATTCAATGATGTAGTGATAGTTGCTATAATCACTGTTAACCATAGTAATAGTATAGGTAAATTTGGTGATGTACAACACAGTAAAGTAGATTTCTAAAATTGCAAACAATATAGAAACAATAAAGATAGAAATAAAACATAAAATCTAAAATTGATCAACAAATAATTACAACAACAAAACATAAAATAAGGTTTAGTAGTGTTGTAAGTGTGTGGTGCGAGCTACTTATAAGTAGTATATGACGTGAGTGTCAACATAATATCGGGCAGCAGAAGAGAAGATGGGGGAAGATCAAGAAAGGAAGAGTTAGATAGAACACAATGGAATTTGTATGAGACGCATGAATAGTGACAATGGATTGATGTTTTGCAACAGGAACAGTCCAGTTCGATATGATGGACTGATATTTTGCAAATTAACGATTTACGACGATATGGTTTTCCGATTTTACTGAGTAACTCTGTAATTTTCGTTAAATACAATTCCGTTGCCCCACCTGCATTTCTACAATTGAAAAATATCTGCAACTCCAAACAACTTTCAAACAAAACCAAAATCACGATTTTCAATACAAATGTCAAGACAGTTCTACTGTATGCAGCGGAAACTTGGAGAACTACCAAAGCCATCATCCAGAAGATACAAGTGTTTATTAACAGTTTTCTACGCAAAATACTTCGTATTCGTTGGCCAGACAACATCAGCAACAACCTACTGTGGAAGAGAACAAACCAGAATCTAGTGGAGGAGGAAATCAGTAAGAAGTGGTGGAAGTGGATAGGACACACTCTACGAAAAGCACCAAACTGCGTCACGAGACAAGCCCTCACATGGAACCCTCAAGGTAAAAAGGAAAAGAGGAAGGCCAAAGAACACACTACGCCGAGAAATAGAGAAAGATATGAGAGGAATGAACAAACATTGGACAGAACTGGAAAGAGAAGCCCAGGAGGACAGAGTTGGTTGGAGAAAACTGGTGGGCGGCCTATGCTCCATTGGGGGTAACAGGCGTAAGTAAGCTTTCCATTAGTGCCACAACTGATATCAATCTATGATGAATACAAGCATACAAGTGAAAACCAGTCTCCACAGAAAACATTGAACGAAATAATATTTTTATTATCATTATGTTAAAATCAGCAGGTAAGATAGTACAATCGGATTGGATAAAACTAATTTTTCCTAGGGCCTTTTTTTATCGACATCTATCTTAACCAAAAACTAATATATTCTATAATTTCATTCTGATTTAAATGATTTTTAAAAATATAAATTTTTGTCCATAATTTTATTGTCGCAAAATGTTTCATTTTTTTTCAGTGTGATACGTTTTATTTATGAACTATGTATAAATAGTAACAGTGAAAAAATGTCAATATAATTATACGAATCACATGCACATTTCGGTACATTCATTGAACGAACATTATTATTATTATTATTTTATAATCAGTAATAGAATTTATTACCAATTAGATAACACATTTTACAATAAAACATGTTTAATAAATTTTTATTCAATAAAACGTCGTACGTAAGTACATACATCAGTTCAAGTTGCCATACCAAATTAGCACAGAGATGCAATCGTCAGTTTAAATTCAATAGTAGTACAGTTAGTAAAAGTATTAGCAGTAGTAATCGGATAGGTTAGGGCTCGACAATATTATTGAAGAAGTAGAATCTAGTGAAATGAACTTAAATAGATAAAGAAAAAAGTGATGAGGAATTCAGAAGGTAGTCTACCAATCTATCAAAATGGCTCAGTCCAGTTGTGAGTGACTGCATGAATTTGTGCCATAGTTTGGTATGGTCGCCACTAGCTTTCTTCCAACCTATTCCTACACTACAAATCATAGTTCGACGAGGCAGTCGGTGGTTAGACATACGCAGCACATGTCCCAACCACCTCAATTGATGAAGTTTCACCACTTCATCTACTGATCTGCCATTTTTACCTAGCACCCGATTCCTAATAACAGCGTTGCTCATTCGGGTGTTCCAGAATATACCGAGCAATGCTTCGGAGACACTTATGATCGAAAACCGATAACCGAAGAATATCTTCTACTCTCACTGGCCATGGTTCACAGCCATAAAGTAAGACCGAGCGAACTTATGCGCAGTACACTCGTCCTTTAGTCAGCAAACGGATATCTCGCCTACGACGCCATAAGTGACGCAGGTTGGCAAAAGCCAATCGAGCCTTCTGTATCCGAGCTGAGATTTCGTCAGTCACCAGGCCATCAGCACTGATGAGACTCCCAAGATAAGTGAAGTGGTCTACACGTTCGACTACTTCACTCCCTATCACTAGTTCAGGTGTCGATGAAACCCGATCTTGAAGCAACATTTTGCATTTCGAGGGGGGAAACCGCATCCCGCATACATTTAATACGATTACATTGTAGAAAAAGAAACATCAATCCTCAAACTCAAGCTTATAGACTGGTGGTATCTGGTGTATGGGTGTATGTGCATCTCAGAGTTGATGTTTCTTTCGATAATAAATGAATAATGTGATGGCGTTTAAAGCGAACGGCAATGGGTTCGAGTCTCAAATATCTCGAGTATCTAACTGATTTCAGCTTCTAATGACACTAGTACTCAAATTAACGGCACTAGTTGTATAAAGTGATAATTACACTCAAAAGTAGTTCATCCAGTATTTTATTATGCGATTGTGTAACACAACTTCTAAAAGCAGATAGTATGGATAGATTTATTCAAGTATCTGTTTATGGAACTATTTGAAACATTACCAATGCATGAAGAGAGATAACAATGACAAAATGGATAGGAGTGTTAAAAGTGTTACGTTTGGGAAAAATTTACATAATAAAGTTTATTTTTGAAATAAGAAATTTTCACAGGTTCAACTTACTGCGAATCGTTTAACAGCACCAATTATCACTAACTGTAAAGTTATATAGGCTGTAGCAATCGAAGAAGCAATCAGTAATAAAATGGACCTGGCAGTGTGTATTAAAACAGAAGAGATCGATTATTTAAAAAATGTGATCATTGTGAAATAAAACATATATATATATATATATATATATATATATATATATATATATATTTTCAAACGGATAAGTCGAAAAGAGAAAAAGAGTACCAGATATAAGAAACAACAGGTTGTCTCCTCTGACAGACAGACAGATACAACGCAGAACTTTGTGCATAAGTACATCAGTTCAAGTTGCTATTCCCCATCAGCACAGAGACGCAACTGTTAGTTCAAATCCAACAGTGATAGCAATAATAGAAGTAATAGCAGTAACGGAAAAGATTAGGGTGCGAAGATATGATTCGAGAGGTATAATTCAATGAGATAAATTTAGAAGGAGAAAGGTAGAGATTATGAGGAATGCAGAAGGTTATAATTAGAGAGAACACAAAGAGTGGATGCACCTGCGCCATTGCAAACGATTCTGAGCCATATCGTTCAAGGTCTCTAACCATCGGTAACTATCGTCTCGCGGACCCCAACAAGGTAGTCGACATCTACCAACATGACTCAGTCCACTTGTCAGTGACTACATGCATTTCTACTGTGTTTTGGTTTGGCCGCACCTTTAGCTTTCCTCCAATCTACTCCTACACTGCAAAACATAGCTAGTCGAGGTAGTCGGTGGTTAGCCGTACGTAACACATGTCCCAACCACCAGTTATCTCCTCTAAATAATAATTTACTTTCATTTTGTGCAAAATACATTTGAATTTACTAATTTCAGCGCTTAATATGTTGAGCTTCATTTCATCAGCATTCATTATTGCAGTTTGATAGTGTTAACAGTTTCGGAGTTATATATAGTTCTCTATTAATTATTGAGAAAATTTTAGAACATTTCCATATTACCATTTCAAGTACCATTACAGCTCCCGATGAATTTCGATACACCAGAAGATTGTGAAGGTTAAAGCATCTGTTTTTTGAAAAGTTCTTATACAATTAAATGTCTATGAGTCTGTTGTATGAAAGCTTACAAACTGAAGAGGTAGAGATGTTCCTATTGAATTAAGAGGGATAAAGCCGATAATCAGTGCCAAAACGAAGTTGACGAATACACGAACAGTTGTTCATGTATCAATTTAAAGCGAAAAAATAGCAATTAAGGCAGCCATTTTGTTCTGAGCAACCGAATAGGATCATCAACCCCTATACATACTGTACCTCGTTTCTCAAGTACTTGATGAATGAGTTGATTCTGGTATTGAATGTGTTTTGATTATGTAACGAATTATTCTAGATGCAAATGTCGATAACACTTTACATATATATTCAAACTACAGATTATGTGAGGAAACTATCATCAGAGTTCTCATGAATAAGTTAAACATGTTAATTAAAGGATAGTCGATCGAAAATTAAGCAATATTTATTTCACAAAATCAACTAACACACAAAAAACAATATAAATACTTTTAAACTCTGTATTAAGCAAAGAATTATTTATTAATAAATACAAATCTAAAGTTGAACAGAATAACCATTCACTGATTCATTTTGTTTCATTCAAACACACACAAATTATTCCGCAAAGTACCGACCGTGCATTATATTCTATATCGATGACGTTTTATTATAATGTGTTGTCGTTAAGAAACGGGTCTTGAGTAACGGTGGCAGATCAATAGATGAAGTATTGAAATTTTATCATTTGAAGTGGTTAGGACATGTGTTGCATATGCCTAACCACCTACTACCTCGTCGAGCTATGCATCGCGATGTAGGAAAAGGTAGGAAGAAAGGTAGAGGCGGCCAAGCCAAAACGTCAATCAATCATTAGCAACGTAGAACGTCGTACGTAGATATGTGGCACAAATCCATGAAGTCACTGACAAGTGGACTGAGTCATGTTGGTAGATGCAGACTACCTGGTCGAGGTCCGCAAGACGATAGAAACCTTCAAAAACCGTTTTCAATAACGCAGATGCATTCATTCATTGTGTTCTCTCAAATCCTAACCTTCTGAATTCCTCCATACATTTGTTTATTGATTTTATTTCTCTAGATTCTACTTCTTCGATAATATCGTCAAACCCTAATCTCTCTCCGATTACTGCTGATACTTCTACCACAACTACTACTATGCGATTTGAATTGATAATTCCATCTCTCTGTGCTAATGCGGTGGTATGGCAACTTGAACTAATGTATTTACGTACGAAGTTCTATGTTGTTGTTGACTGACTGACTGACTATCTGAAAGTGGCCGTTAGTTTAAGTAACTTCAATTACCAATACATGTTGCATGATGTTAGATCAAGGACCAATGTCGATAAAGAAAGAACCCTTACAGCTAAAACTGTGTGCTGTGCTAGTTAGCACTCAACCCCAATGGAAATAAGTACAGTTCTGTATGCAATTAACAATTTGCCTTATTCATCATTTTGAATAGCTAGCTCTTTTTCTCAAAGAAAGTCGTGACTTTTCACAACCAAACTAACATACACAAAATATTTTGAAATCAGTAGTCCATTTTCATATTATTCATTAAATAAGTGTTTTACGATCGATGAAAACATGGTTTTCTATTTCCCACGCTAATCGGTTCATCTGACGTTAACTGATGTTGAAGTCACTTTTAGGTATATTATGTTTCATAACCCTTGATTGCAAAGTCCGATTAGTCCTCCCTATGTATGATTACATCACATCCCATTGCATTTATCAATTTACATGTTTGTGTGGTCACACATACATAGGAAGGGTGATGGAACACAGTCAGTCAGTTAGTCAGTTGCAACGTAGAACTTCGAAAGTAAGTTCATCAGTTCATGTCGCCATACCACATCAGCACAGAGATGTAATTGTCAATTCAAATCCAATAGTAGAAGAGGTAGTAAGGGAATTAGAAATAATCGGAGAGTTTAGAATTAGAAGATATTATTCAAGAAGTATGATTCAGTGAGAAAAGTTTGGAAATTGGAAACTAGAGGTGTTGAAGAATCCAGAATATTAGGATTTCAGAGAACACAGAGAATAAATTCACCGGAGCCATTGCGAACGATTATGAGCCATGTCATTCAAAGTCTCTAACCATCGATTATTATCATCTCGCGGACCACAACCAGGTAGTCGACAATTACCGACACGGCTAAGTCCACTCACCAATGACTTCATGGATTTATGCCATGTTTTGGTCTGTCCGCCCCTAACTTTCTTCCAACCTATTCCCGAACCACTAAACAAAGTTCGTCGAGGCAGTCGGTGGTTAGGCATACGCAACACATGTCCCAACCACCTCAACTGATATGGTTTCATTACTTCATCTATTGATCTGCAATTCTTACCTAGCATTCGATTCCTAATAACAGCGTTGCTCATTCGGGTGTTCCAGGATATACCGATCAATGCTTCGAAGACACTTATGATCGAAAACCAATAACCGAAGAATATCTTCTACTCTCACTGGCCATGTTTTATAGCCATAAACTAAGACGGGGCGAACTACTGCACAGTACACTCGTCCTTTAGTCAGCAAACGGATATCTCGCCTATGCCATAAGTGACGCAGGTTGGCAAAAGCCAATCGAGCCTTCTGTATCCAAGCTGAGATTTCCTCAGTCACCAGGCTATCGGCACTGATGAGACTGGAACACAATATACCTAAGTGGCTTCATCAAAAGCAATTAAATAAGTATTGTTTAATCAATATGGAAAATAGACAATAAATAGTATACATACTTACTTAGGCATAACTAACAAATGTATGAAACCGAATAAAATTAAAAATGGAATATAGATGATAGTGGCAAAGTACAACATATCAACCATTGACCATTGATTCTTCATTAAACCAGTATCATTCTCAGGCTTTTCTTGCTCCAATTCACGACAACAACAACAACAACAGCAGCATTGTTTTGAACAATTAAAACACAATAAATTTAATAAGCCAGTTCTTAGATTAACATGCCGACAAACGTTGTGTTCTTCTGCTTCATTGTAATTCATATGATTAGTAGAAGTATTATTCAATTTATTGTCTTCTCTCTTGTTTGAATCAATCATCATGGAATTTGTTACATGATTCGATGTTGTAGTAATAGTAGCAGTAGTAGTCTTGTGTAAAGATGATAAATTTGTATATGAGACTTTATGCGAACTATGCTTGAAGTAGTTCATAAAATGATGATATCGATTACCAGTGGTTGGTCGTGAACTAGAACAGCTACTACCACCCGACGATGATGAGGAGGATGATGACTGACGATGTTGTGATAGTTTCAGTGTCAACCAACATGGTCCATCTTCATTTGGTGGTACAGTGTCTAGCAGAGACAATTTATTGATCATTGGTTTTAAATTATGCAATAAATTCAGTTCATGATAACTCAAAGTCTTATGGTTTGTACTATTATTCATACTTGAATCGTTTGTTTCAACAAAAGAATAAGGATGTAATGGTGCTGTGGTTGCTGTAGTTGTTGCAAAACTTGTACCCATTGAATTGGTGATACCGAGAGTTGAATTTATATCGGCACCATTATTCACATCTGTGCTTGTTGGTGGATCCAT